TGCAGAACTAGAAAAAGATGAAGAGTAAATTGAACCGAGATTAAAGTTAATCTATATTTGTGGAAATGGGAATTAGAGTTATAATCTGGGAAATTGCGACTCGCGAAAAACAGCGCCGATTGACGGGAAAGTATCGATGGATCTCGATGAATCCTCGAAACGAGGCGAAGCTCTTGTTAACGAAGGAAAGCTGCGAGCGAGTCGATCGCTGTCATGCCTGTCATTCGCGATCTGCCAATTACGCGTAACGCAACTCGATAACAGTCGCAGCGCGGAAACTCGCTGAAGCGTCGCGAGTCATTCAAATTCCACCTGCGAGGTCACCTGACTCCTCCGAGGGAAAAGTGGATCGCGCGGAAATATTTTGCTTATTGTTTGCAGAATGTCAGAAGTATTCCCGCGAGCGCAAACTCTCGCTGGCGACACATTTTAATTGTTTGCTCTTAATGAGTTTCGTACTCATTTTACCGTTATGCCACGGTAGAGTTTTTCATTATCTTGAGCGTATAAATTATGGATTTGTGAAAATAAATGTATAAAATAATTATTATTTCAAAATAATAATTTAAACATTTTCATTTTTATGAATATACGATTCAGAAATATAAAATAATTCTTATTTTTAATAATATAAAGTACTATTTAACAATTAAATATTTTTTATTTTGCTTTATTAGTAATTAAATAAAAAATACTCAATTGACAAATAACAATTTATTAAAAATAAAAATTATTTTTTAAATTAAAACGACTTTTATTTTACTAAAAATAAAAATTATTTAATTGTCGAGAATAGCAAACTTTTTACTTTACACTATCATTCAGCTATTTACGTCATTCGAAAGTTTATATTAAATGGGATTTATTTTTTATTAGCGTTTTCACTTTTGCGCGCTACCTGACAATAACGCCCGCCGATGCGGGAGGATCGCGGTGTGTTTAAACCGTGCAAGCCACGCTTTATGTAACCGCACATGCCGGCATAGTTTTCAACAAGGAAAGTGTGTAATCGAGCGACGTGTCCACACGATGGCACGGCGTTACGTCGGATTATACACGCGCTTGTAATGAAAGAAAAAAACAAGACTTCGATCGGCGCGCGATTCCGCTAGTCAAAGTCCTTTCCCACATATACGATACACAGCATCTTGTTTGCGCGAAGAATAAACAGCTGGAGGTCCTTTCCAACAAGTGATGCATCCGCGTCGCAGAGTTTCGCACCGCTAGTGATGATCTTTCTCTATTAAACGAAAAGAAAGTTTCCGTCGAATCCCCGGCGGGCATTAACGGTCGATCCGTCCGATAAATATTTCTTCCCGCCTTCCTTCGATTTTTTTCCCGTTACGACGACTCGCTGTTACGCGACTCTCTATAAGTTGGTATTTATAGGTGAGATTCATAGACGGTTTTTATATTTAAGATAGTCTCAAGTACAGTCTTAAGATGTCATAAGTCAGTCATAAGAACTATATTAGCAGTTAAGACATTACTTAAGCTTGTTTAAATAATAACGGATTATGAATACCAGCCTTATGCCTTCGGTTTGAATGTTTACGTATTGTAAGTTTTATTCTACTTTTATTGCTTATTACAGGGGCTCTATTCTTGAAAAGCAACTTATACGAAAGTCTAGGGAAATGCTACAGTATATGTTACGTATACTATAGTATTTTCCTAGATTTTCGTATACGGTTCTTTTCAAGAATAGAGCCCCAGGAGTATAAAATGAAACTTTCAGCGTGTGAGTGTCCAAACCGAACGTAGCTACAATGTACATAGTGATATTTTCATTTTTGTTTAATATTGGCAAACAATAAGGATGAATAATTAGATATCGCATGCTTATTATGCAATTGCATATTTTTTTAGCATTTTTTTCGGTTATTACCGATTTTAAAGACATCCACATTGGATGCTTATCTTTCTTTGATTATAACGTGCAATGCATTTGCGATATTCGAAGAAAAGATCTTGGTTCATTTAATGTTATTTTGAAGACTATTCATTTATTTGAGAACTTACTTTGAAGATTATTAATTTATTCGAGGTTATCCACCAAAAAAATCTGAACAATAAACAATTTGGCCGTCAATTTTGTTATGTAAGCATAATCGTTTCATTTTTAGAAAAATGTGAATTGCATGCGTACAAATGCAAAGTCTTTTTTAAATAAGTTTTACAATTCTCTTATATCTTTTAACTAAACTGTTAAATGCATACATATTGGTTATTTATGTTCAATAATTTTAAATTTTTTAATATGATACTGAAGATGATCTGTCGTTAAAAGATTGAAAAGTCTGTTTACATATGTGAGGTATTAAATTATTTATGTTAGTAAAAACGTGCAGATTGGCTCTCCAGTCTTTATTTCATTAGTTAACAATTTTTATTCTTAGCCTCATTATAATTGAATTAAATTTTAATTTCATTATCAACATAAATATTTATATAATGATTATTAATTACATAATTATCTGATTGACATATTTAATTCGATGTAATTAATATTGAGCGGTATTTTCTCTCTCTCTCTCTCTCTCTCTCTCTCATTCATAGCCAATTTTTTATATATTTAAGTTTAAGTCTTAAGTACAGTAAGATGTCATAGGCCAATCACAGAACCGTTAACATCTTAGATCTAAGACATTACTTAAGACTGAATACCGGTATAAGCAGCAAGAATACCGCGTTATCGGTACTCTCTGAGATATTGAGTTTCGGAGACGGTCGGAACGGGTTTTCGTGAACGTCGGATAGATATACGGGACCGATCTACTATAGTCGACAGTCTCGTTAGAGCACGAAATGTCACGAAGTACTATCGCACAACCGCTTTCGTAACGAATGTTGTAATACCTACAGCTTCTCGTATACAATGCCTTCAATACCGAGTTTCACCACGTCTAACGAACCAACTCGGCTCGTTGTAGTGTCCAAAGTACTGATTAACGGAACATCACTCGCATTGTGCCTCACCATTTTGCGTCCAGCTGTTGAGGTCGTGGCAGAGCATAGTCCAGTCGTCCTCCAGATCCTGGAAAGACGCCATTGACAATTTCGCCGGAAATATCCTTCGTCCTTGCGCCATATCGCGATGTCGCCAATCGCGATCAGAAATTCGCGATCGCCGAGCGCGTTCCACCTGTCGTGGAGAATCCTTGGTCGTGAACGTCAAGATCCTTTCACGAGTCGACACCCAAGAAAATCGGCCGGACGATTTCACGCGTGAGGATTCACGGAAATCGCACGAAACAATAACGGCGATAACGGCCGTTTATTTGGAGATTCACGAAATCCTCTGAGTACGATCGCGCGAAACGCTCAGTCACAGACGATTCGCGGCACACGAAGACCGAACACGACGCGAACGAAAGGACCGAGTCGAGGTTGAGGTATGGGCGTTAAAACGACACCCGGCAATACACGCGCGTGTTCCACGCGCTTGCACACGCACCTGAACGCGCGGAACGTTGCTCCGTTCTACCTCTGCTCCGCTCCGCACGGTCGCCGAGTTTCGCGTTGTTTGTTTTTAAAAGCGCGCTCGGCCGTCCACTTGTCAACACACGCGTGGATTGTACGTACGTACATACGTACACAACGTGACGACGACGGCGCAAGACGTTTGACTGATATGCGCATATATAGCGAGTCCAAAGTTTCCCATCCAAGGATATAAAATAGTGATAAATGAACATGAATTCATCATCGATTTCAATGCGTACATTTTTTTCCATATACATTTGTAAATAAAAAATAATAATTTGAGACTGACTGTGAGCCGAGATTGTAGAATGAATGATGAAATAATCTTGAAACAGTTATATTTTAAGAACAAAAATTCAAAATATTTTTCAGTGAAATATAAGGAAATTACAGTAATCAATTAAATAAAGATTGAACTCTCGAGATAGTAACAACGATAAAAAATATATTTAAAAACTCTTACATCAACCTCGCAAGAGATTTAGTAAAATTCAAAATCGTACGTTTCGTTTTGACTGATTAGTCAAGTGAGAACAGCTGCAAACTTTGATCAACATAATGCAAAGGTGGAAAAATATATCGAGAGAACCGTGACGAGTATAAAATTGAAAATCATTTTCACGGGATAGTTCTCTCGATATATTTTTCCTCTGCGTTATATTGATCAAAGTTTGCAGCTGTTCTCACTTGACTAATCAGTCAATGGACAAGGATGCTTCTCAAAATTTGGAATTGAGGGGGCCTTTCCGGCTGCTCTCTTGAATCGTTTAAGATGCGAGTAATGATCACTATTATTGTCTAACATTGCTGATGATGGCTTGAATGAAGCTGAAACGTATGATTTTAAATTTTACTAAATCTCTTACGAGGTTAATGTAAGAGTTTTTAAATATATTTTTTACACGCACTTAATAACTGTTTTTCTTCAGCTCTCAATCGCCCGTTATATATGGTGATATTCATTATTGTTGTTAATAAGGAAATTAATTCACCATTCTAAACAATTGAAATAAAGGACGATTGGATAAATAATGATAGTTGAAAAATTAATTTTTATCATCTTTTTTATATCCTTTGATCGAAAACTTTTGGAACCTATGTAATTTGATTATAAATGTTGCTGCTTTTATCACACAATGTCTGATAAGGTAAATCACGTGATTTGTATCCGATTATCGATCTCGAAATAGGTTGTGATGAATCTAAAAAGTAATGAGTGATAACACTCGATTGATAAACGTCTACTTGTTGCTTCGCTATCTTTCCTTTATGTATTTCTTACGTTGTTATTAAAATTGTACTTTTAAATCTTCTGTCCCTTATTTACATGTAAAAACATGAAAAAATGATAAACAAAATTTCTATAATGCATTAGGGTAAACTTGTGGTCGTAAATCGTGAAATAAAATTGAAGATATTTCATTGTAATATTCAGTAATAGACACAAGTGTCATATAAAAAAATGAATCTCTACAAAATTCTCACTTAAATAATCGCTGAATTTATATACAAAGACATTATATCTTTTAAACGTTTCTTTAGAAAACAGAATTAAAGATCAAAATATGTTTTCGAGAAATATTTAATGTGAAATTCGTGAATTATTTATGATTTTTTAAACAGTTTACCAACCATTTATCAAATCTTATAGAATTATATATGATTCTTCTAAATTCTAAATACAAGGATTTTCGAGCTTGTGAATGTGGTGTCTAAAACGAATCAACCTCTGGACACAAGTATATACGAAGATTGTTTATTTATTCCTACAAGTGTTCAAACACGAAGCGATTCGAGACAAGTACTCTTTAAAAAAAAGTAAGAACATTATTATTTGACGTAAGCACTTCTCATAAATAAGTTTCGTCTAGGTCAGCACGTTAGATTACTTATCGCTATCTTAAAAGCTATTTTTGTACATTACGCGTTTGTACACAGAGTAATGTGTTGCAAGTTTCGTATGAAAATACGTTTCTTATAAAAATGAGCGTGAAATGCAATAGAAAACAGTCTTCCACGTTAAATATATATACATATCGGCGACATAAATAACGACGATGAACATTTCGAAAACTTGCGATAATACCGAAAGTTCGCGAAAATGAGCGAAACGAGTATATCACTTTTCGGCACTTTATATATATATATATTATATTATATATACACATATATATAAACACTATATATATGTATATACAATATATGTGTGCGTCTATATATGTATATTCACTTATATAATACTCCACTTTTCAATGCTTTGATGATACTGGCGCACTTACATTTAATTAAAAATCACTTATAAATGATGGAATACGAATACTTTTTCACTCGTTATATGTATATGAGTAAACGATGTTTTGTAACATAGAAGAGTTTTTTAATTTTGTCACACGAACATCGAAAAATGTTTATGGAGATAGACGGACTTCTTCTATGGCAAAAATTAAGTTGTCCAATCCGTACAAGAAACCCTCTTCGTGGTTGCCTTCTTCCCAAGGACGTCTGTGTGTGAGCTTCCGTCCGTTCGGTACCTCCCGTGTCTTTGCGAAATCTATTACCCAAACACCCACTTTTTCGCTGTCGTGGATCATGAAAATACTACTGCCGATTACCTGAAAAATAAAATGATACATTTAAATAAATAAATGTACAAAATAAATAATACAACAATTGGAAGAGGTTCAAAAATTGATGTATCGTATCGTACCTCGTGAGTTTCAAAATACTCTGACTGCTCAATTTTGGTTCGCAGGTTCTCGAGACGCGTCAGGAGCTTTTGACGAGTGTCCTCGCAGTTGCCGAGGAATTGTTTTATGATGTCGAGTACCTCCGAATGTGACTTGACCTTCTTGAGATCGGTGATTGGCGGCGCACCCGGTAGTTTCATCGCTTCAATACGAAAACCGTGGCTACAGGTTGAGCTCTGTTCCTCGCGAAACTGCATATACCGTAATTTGGTCACGGCATGCTGCTCGTGTTCTAGCTGGGTCGGCGCGTTCGGATCGACAGCAATCATCTTCTCATATAGGTCCGACCTAGCGGTGGTCTTGGATACCTCGGATTCAAGGAAAGTCCGTGTGCCCATCTTGATATCCATCACATGCGGATCGTTAAATCCGAAGAGTAGATCCTGCAGCTCAATAAACGTGTCGCCCTTGTATTCAACTTCCCGGTAATATCTGCAAAGTATAACCATAGTTGAGTCTCGCGGTGTCCATTTTATTATTTCTTAGATAAAAATTGAAAAGATTTTCAAGTAAACCTTGGAATGCAATCCCGCAACGCTTCCTCCTTGCTCAAAGTCTCGTAAACGATGCGTTCCGTGTTTTCAGCGCCGCCCGCCCGTCTTTTCCAAACAGTGCCAGGTCCGGCAGGTGCAAAGCCGTCCGGATGGCCCGATAATTGAAACCAGGACTTGAGTCGGTTTTTCAAGAGCACGTCGCTAGCCGGCGCCGTCAGATCTAAAGCATTCTGGAACATAATTAGATGACGCAATCGATTGAATCATTTTTCGAAAAACGTGCGGGATTAAAAGACCGGCTATGTACTCTCTAAAAAACTTTTAGAATGAATGGTTACTCCAAAGAATGGAATCTCACTCATAGACTAATATTCACAGTCGATTCTTATTTCAAGACCGTCTTAAGTAATGTCTTAAGATAATGCGGCCCTCTGATTGGTTCGTGACACCTCAAGACAGAACTTAAGATGGTCTTGAATATAAGAATTAACTATGAACCGGCCTTAAAGACTGAAAATTGAGCCACTCTTTTTCAAGACTAGTTCAATTTTCAGTGAGATTCCACTCCAAGGACTTTAGAAAGTATAAATATAAATACACGTACCAGGGCGAGGAATTTCAAAGAGAGATCCTCGTCCGGCATCGTCGTGTCGGACAGGACCATAGGGAATTGCTCCAATTTTCGCATGGTGGCAGGATCGTTTGGTAATTTAGTGACTGAGTTAGACGATCTGGAGCCGGCACTGCTGGATCGGTTGCTATGAGAACCCAACGAGGTGCTCCGTCGCCATTGACGGAAGGCGCTGTAAGTGCTGTTGCTGCTGCTGCTATTTCCGCTACTTCCGCCACTACTGGACCCATCCTTCTGTCGACGGTGATCCTTGTTGCCCATCGAATCATGATTGCTCAATCGCGTTTGCTCTTTGCTCGAGGGCTGCAACGAGAGAGGCCTACTAAGAATTTAATCCAACCGAGACAGTGCGTTACGTTATGGGCTGCGACACCTCGAAATTTCAGTCGTCCAGAACTGAAGAAATCGATACGACGAGATCGCATCCGATCGGATCGATTTCGCCATTAAAGCGGAAATCAAGAACTCTTCGATAAGAAGATCCGAGTTATCTCGTTGGGGTAGGAGCACGGATTCTTGCATAACGCATGAGGCATAAGAATATCGACTAATCATAGAAAAAAAATATTTCTGATCACAGCTAATTATGATTAGCTGAAATTGCATTAGCTATAATTTACTAATACAAAGAATTTGCTACTGTAGCTAATATAAGGACGTGATAGCAAAATATGCATGTCTGTTAGTCAATTTGTATTTAGCAACATAAATTAGTTGTCATAGTTATCGGATATGTCCGTGTAAAAGAAAATTCCACACAGTCTCTACCACAGCTAAATATGGTTTGATGAAACTGTACTTGCTATCAAATTGTCTGCTACACAAAAAATTGTTTACTACAATGATCACTACATCAACATAATAGCAAGACCAAAGACCTCGCAGACAAATACATATACACAGACGATACATAGATCTCGCAGACACAACGTTAAGTATCCATATAATGTTATTGAATTTAGCTGCCATACCTAATGTTTAGTTGTGGCAGCTAATCTTTTTTTTCCGTGATTAGAGTTTTTTCATGGAAAGAAAGAAAATGCAGAACTTTGGTTCGTTTTTTTTTCATGCGTTATGCAAGACTCCGTGCTTCCGCCCCTTACTCTGAAGTCGTCGGCGGCGCGCGCGCGCGCGCGCGAAGGCTGTTTATTATTATTCGTCTTAAGTCGCGTTACCCTGTGCTTTTCAATGTGAATATTCGATATCGTGATACACCATTCATTTTAATTTCCGAGGCAAGGTTCGCGCGCACATAACTCGACCGTGATTTTGGCCTCGATTATCGGCCTGCGTTATCAGCTTGCAACTCATGTCTATGACTGCGAATGACGGCGAATCGATTACTTATTAATAACGCTTGATAAATAGCGAAAACGTATCGTTGCTGGGGTATAAACAGATTCATAAATGGCAATTTATATCATTACAGTGTCGATAAAAAAATAAAAAGAGGACGGACAGAAAAAACCACCTGCCCCACTACGTGCCTCACGGGAGGAGGGCGCAGGGGGGAGAGGGAGGAGGAAAAAAACCAGAACTCGAAGCGCAATCGTTCCATAAATACGAATCGCGTCTCTCACGCTACCTATTGACGTCAATGACTTTTATTCGAGCCGCATCGTGCCACTTGTCGCCGCAGGGCCAATTCCAGCGTGTTCGCGGTGCGCGATATCGCCCCGGGCGGGAGGAGAGAGAAACGATCGAAATGTCGAGGCTCTTTAGGCCGGTATTCATAATCGGTTCTTATTTTAAGACTGTCTTAAGTAATGTCTTAAGATGTTATTACGGCTCTCTGATTGGTTCGTGATATCTGAAAACTATACTTAAGACCATAAGACGGTATTAAATATAAGATCCGACTATGAATACCGGCTTTAATTTTTAATATATACGAGGTGATGCGGATGTGTATCGACTGTTTCTGAACTCGCTTTAAATTTAGACCACCCGGTGGATTTGACTTTTCTTTCCATGGGGCTCGATGACAAATTAATTCTTATAATTTAATTCATTAATGCGCGACACGACGTTCACGGCCTTAGGGTAACTTCGACGAACCTCTCCGACTGACTTAATCAGTGATTAACTTATCGAGTAACACCTGTACTGTTTTGTTAACATGGACAGTTATATAACGTACTGAGAAAAAAACTATTTGGTATTTGTAACTATAATTACATATTACTATAATTACAATTATGACTATAATAATAACTATATGCATAATTCTATCGATCAATACAATTGGCAACCGAAAATGACTATAATTACAGTTATTATAATCATAAAAATGGTTGAAATTACTATAAAAAATGATTTACACAACTATGATTACATAGTCATTTAAATCATGTTTTATGATAATTTCAACCATTTTAATGATTATAATAATTATAGTCATTTTTTTTAAATTCGTGTTATATCTCGACAAATTTACACAATTGCGTGATGAAATAATGAGAAACTCTATTTTTATGATTATTACTACCACAATTTTAATAATAACCATAAAAATGGAGTTTCTAATTATTTTACCGTGCAATTATAGTCATAAATGAAAGAATTGTACTATAAATTATGTTGATTATGATAATTTTAAAATTTAATATAATAAAATATCAAAATATACGTGATAAATAAAGTAAACATTTTTA